TGAAATTAAGAATTTTGGTTTTTGAAAAAAAAAAAAATCTTAAAATCGCCATGTCTGACCCTTGGAAGAAGTATATTTAATATATCCACGAGTTTTGACCTCTGTAAAATCATAAAAAACGGAATTTTTACCCTTCAAATCTCTAAAAACGAATCAATACCTGGATCTTTGGGAAAATTTTTAAAAATATACATATTTAAATTTTCGTCCTTGAAAACCCTTAAAAAATCCGACAGATTTGATCCTTTTCTTTAAAAATTCGAAATTTTTTTTTAATTTCAAACATTTACTTTGATTCTTGTACAAACATTAAAAATAAATATTTTTTTGTCAAGATCCATTGTCCCTTGAAAAATGCTTAGAAGATCCACTATTTTTGGTCCATAAAACCCTAGTTTTTTGATCCTTAAAAAACTCGTTACAAAATTATATTGTAGATTCTTAAACAATTTTGGCAAAATCGAAGATTTCAAATCGCTGAGATTTTTTTGAATCCATTTATTTTGATTCTTGGAAAAATCCTAAAAAACCCAAATTTTTGATCCTTGGAAAAAAAAAAACTATACAAATTTTCGACTTCGGGTCCTTGAGAAAAATATTTTAAAAATCGTTTCCTTTGTGATTCTTGACAAATATTCAAATTCAAAATCAAGGTTTTTTTTATAAAAAATAAAAAAAAAACAATTTTCACCCTTGAAAAATCTTGAAAAAATGGGATTCCAGATTCTTCCTTCCTTTAAAAAATTTATAAAAAATCCACGATTTTTGATCCTTCAACATTTTTTTACGAATCCACGTCGAAAACTGTCCTTCAAACATTTACAATTATTGTCCTTTCAAACAAATTCAGTTAAGAGAAAATATCCTTACAAAAATTAATTAAAATTTAATTCGATTATAACCCTTATAGATCCTTTGCAGTGTATTCTTCCCTGGATATTCTGGCCTTCTTTAATTAAATAATTTTTTTTTATGGAAGATCTTCTGTTGATAAATTATCTTCGATGAGTCTTCTATTGAGATCTTTCGTCTGCTGATAGCAGACCCTCCTCCCATCTCTGACAAATTCTTTTGTATTCCTACCTTATTGAGTTGGCTAAGAGCATAGGATTTTTACTGCCAACAGTGACTGGCTCAACTGCTGTTAATAACCACAAAAAGAAAAAAGAAACAACAACAACTTACCAATGGACTTACTAGTCCATTGGTCCAATAATGCGGGTGGTTACATTGTATTCTATGGACAGGGTTGCCGTTTGGTAGAACTGCGATTATTTGAAAGTATTGTTTGAAATATAATTTGTTTGGATATTTTCGGATCCAGTGTGTTGTTCCTTGAAAAAAATACCCTTTAAAAAATCCTTGAAAATAAATCTTTAAAAAAATTCGCGTTTATTTGTTGGTTAGTCCTTTCAAAATGAATCTTTAAAGAGTTATTGGTTAGTTAGTCTTTGAAAATAAATAATTAGCCAAATTCTCTATTATTTTTTGTGAGTTTTTGAAGATAAGTCTGCAACAAATTGTTTTTTTTTTGGTCCTTAAAATTCAATTATCAAAAATCCTCGAATATTGATTAATTGGTCCTCGAAAATAAATCCTCAAAAAAATCCCTTATTATTGGTTGGTTCTCAAAAATAAATATTTAAATCAACCATAATTTTTTGTTGGTTGGTCCTTGAAAAAAATATTGTGTCAACAATTCATGATTATTGGTTGGATGGTATTTAAAAATAAATTTTTATAAAATCTATAATTATTCCTTAAATGGTCATTGAAAATAAATCGTTAACAGATTCAGGAAGTAATCTTACAAATTTATGATTATTGTTTGGTTGGTCCTTGAAATATATACTTAAAAAATCACGAATATTGGCTAGTTGGTCCTCGAAAATAAGTCCTTAAAAATCCATGTTTATTGGTTTGACAAGGTTTTTTATTAAACTAGATTTGCTATTAAAATAGGTTTTTAAAATATCCAACAATTTTGGGTTGTTTTGTCCATGGAAATAAATCTTTGAAAAATCCATGATTATTAATTGGTTGGTCTTTGAAAATTAATTTAAAAAAATCAACAGGTATTGCTTGAATGGTCCTTGAAAAAAAATTCTTTACAAATTAAAAAAAAATCTTAAAAATCCATGATTTTTCCTTGGTTGGTCCTTGAATATCAATATTTAAAAAATTGCATATTTTATTTCAATAAATTCCTAAAAAAATCTATGATTTTTGGGTTGGGCAGGGTTGCCAGCGTTATAAAAATAGGTATTTTAAATATTCACGATTTTATGGTTGGTTGATCCTTGGAAATAAATCTTTGAAAAACTCGTGATAATTGATTGTTAAAAAATCCACAATTATTGAAATGTTAAAAAAATCCACAATTATGGGAAAAAAACAAGTAAGCAAAGGCTACAGTCGAGCGGGGCCGACCGTTGTATACCCTACAACACTGCAATAAACGATACAGTTTATATAGGCGAGATACTCGAAAGAATTCCACAAGATATTGTGACAAATAATAAAAGAAAACCATCAGATTTCGTTCTCTAATTTTCGAACAATAGCAACTTTAACTAATTTGCTCATTTCCAATTTATTGGTAGATGTTGCACGTAAATGGTCTTCCTAGATCTGGAACCAATATTTTCCAAAGACCCATAATCTCTCAGAAGTGGCAAAAGATTAACATTTATTATTGGTTTTTGACTGAAACACATCTATATGAGATACAGCCATTTGACTATATTCTTCAACGAAATCAGCCTTAACGAAATAGTCAGAAGTGTGTCTTTCCTGTATTTGTGAATTCTCCAAAAAGTCACGGGAATGGACATTTTCGTATTATGTCTATGAAGCAAACTCCTTCACACATTGAATATTTTTGGATGGCCATCCAAAACTGCTTGGCTTTTGCAATGTCCGGTAACCCCCATTCAAATGTGCGTGAGGACCGGGCGATAATTACGACCTGCTGACAATTTTGCAGTTTTTGGTCCATTTCAACCCCTAAATATACGGCGATCATCTCCAAAAAGAGCAGGCTTCTATTCTGACCCTCATCTTATCCCCATGCAAAATTTCGTAAGGATCGGGCCATAAATGCGATCTGTATATGATATCCTGATATCCTAACTACTTAGTTTTGTTAGCTGTAGAAATATTACCAAATGTTTAATTCAAAATGAAAATATGCCAAAAATATGACAAAATTGAAAAAAAATATGAGAAAATTTACAAAATCAATATTTTCATCTTTAGAGAGACATTTTTATGCGATTTTTTAGGTGTTTTTTCTTTTCTGCCAAGAGGCCATTCTGAATTAATGAGAACTGTCGAAATCAGTTCAGCCGTTCTCGACATAAAATAGATCTTTCAAACATATCTTCTTTGATAGACATATATATCGCACATATTTTGCTATATATTCGATTTGTTGGATCTTAACATCAATGTAAAGATCAGAAGTAACCTTGTCATGGCTTTGTGATTTCGCCGGGATTTAAAATATTCGCGGTTTAATGAAAAAATTTGAATTTTTTCAACAAAAAAGATATGGTCTATTTTAGCCGCTAAATATTATCCGATGACCACCCAAATTGGTAGGCTTCTTCCCCGCCCTAAACTCTAGCTACATGCGAAATTCCGCGTCGATTGGTCTATAATTGCGACCTGTATAGCTATTGCAAAATCCGACATTTTTTCAGTATTTGGTCCATTTCAACCCCTAAACATTTGGCGATCATCTCCAAAAGAAATAGGGTTCTATTCTCACATTAACCCCACCTCCATTCTAAATTTCGTGAAGATCGGGCCATAATTGCGACCTGTAGAGTGATTACAAATTAACATGGACAGACGGACAGACGGACGGACGGACATACATAGCTAGATCGACTCAGCTCGGCGAGCTAGGAAGATCCATATATACTTTCCTATGTGGGAAACCAATATTTCGAGGTGTTACATAATTTTTGGCCCAATCAAACTTATAATACCCCCAACACATAGTGTTGTAGGGTATAATAAAAATCTAGAGCAAATTCCTTGAATGGTCCTTGAAAATAATACTTTAAAAAATTTAAAAATAAATCTTAAAAAACCCATGATTATCGCTTGGTTGGTCCTCGAGAATAAATCCTTAAAAAATCACGAATATTGGTTGGTTGGTCCTCGAAAATATATTCTTAAAAAATACTTAATTATTGGTTGATTGAGGGTTGCCAGGGTTATTAAAATATGTCTTGAAAATATCTAGAATTTTTTGGTTCTTTGGTCTCTGGAAATAAATGTTTGAAAAGTCCATGATTAGCGATAGGTTGGTCTTCAAAAATAAATTAAACAAAATCTATAGCTATTCCTTGAAGGGTCCTTGAAAATAAATCTTAAAAAAATGTAAAAACAAATCTTAAAAATCCATGATTATTGCTTTGTTGGTCCTAAAAATAAATCCTCAAAAAATTCATGATTATTGGTTGGTTGATTGAAAAATTCATGACTATGGGCTTGTTGGTCCTTGAATATAAATTTTTAAAAATCACGAATATTAGTTGGTTCTTGAAAAAAGCTCTATTTTTTGGTTGGTTTTTGAAAATAAAAAAAATTCATATTTTTTTATTGGTTGGTCTTTGATAAAATATTATTTCAAAAGTCTATGATTATTGGTTGCTTGGTCCTTGAAACTAAATCTTTAAAAATTCCACTATTTTTGGGCTATTGATCCTTAAAAATAAATAAATAAAGGATATCCATCATTATTGGTCCAGCTGATGGCAACTCTGGCTACAATTACTAATTTCACCAACATGGCCACTTGGTGAGACAGGCAAAACTGCTACTAAAACTTTTACTATCTATACTTGCCACTAACTAGTACTGCTTCTAGATGCAAGTCCTTGCATAATTTTGTTGTTGTTGTTGTTGCTATTTTGTTTTTTTTTTACCCCAGAATGTTGTTCTAACCGAAGTTTTTTTCTTTTCTTCTATTTTCTTCTGCGAAATAGCTCTTCAGTCAAATGGTGATGGGTTTTAATGGCAAAAACAATTTAGACATCGATAGACTGACAACCATGTTGGAGGAGAATCGCACATTGCTAAATGACATGGCAACGAAGGAGTGCACCGATGGTGCCACATTGCCAAAATTATTATTCGAATTAGTTGAGCAGGCGAGCGTTAAAGATAGTGTGACCGCCGGCAGTGAGGATGAAGGAGCTCGAGTGGCACTGAGTCGCCAAGTTAGCAGAGAAGTGACCCATATCAAAGAGGGTAGAATCACCAAAGAGGAGGAGGAGTTGCAGACGACAAGGGTGGCCAAGATTGTTTCAGATGATAATGCAAGTTGCCAGTCACAAGACGAAGAAGATGGAGATGGAGAAGAAATAGACGAAGTTGATAATGAAAATATGACATTAGCAAGCGGCTCCCAGCAAGCAGCTGGAATGGAATGCCAACAACAACAAGAAATTATAGATGATACTGACGCCGCTGCCAGCTCAGATGTTGCATTTGCCACTAATGAAAAAGTTAGTGGCATTACTTTACAACAGCAGCTGCAACAACAACAACAACCAGCGAAGAGTAAAAAACAACATCACTCCCACAATCATCGTAAAAGTTCGAACACCATTAAAAAATCAACGAACGACAACATTGCCACTCTAAAATTCACCGATCCCAGTGTCATGGCAAAAGTTGCCTCCACTCAAGAAATTATTGGAAATCTACCAAAAGTTTGGCGTGTTTTGGTGGAGTTACTCAATCATCATCACACCGATCCGGTGCAGTTCGAGGAAAACGGCAAAGGCGAAGACTGCTATAAATCGGTACAGACACCGTACGGACCCAAGGCCGAGCTGAGCGTTAGCAAGACTTATTTGAAACTTAAGGTAAGTGGGTGAAAGAGTATTTTGGTTTTGAAATATTTAGTTTAGAAAAAAATTTTGATGGATTTAGGGTTTTCGAATTAAATTCTTTTGGAAATACTTAAAAATCAAAAGAACTTAAAAAAAATTTTAAAAAAGGATTATTAGTTTCTTGGCCTTGTCAGAAACAATCTCAAAAATCCGCAATTATTAGAATGTTGATCATGTAAGAAAATTTTTTAGAGAATCCAGAAGGATTTGTCTGTTTCTTCTCCAAAAAATTTAAAAAAAAAAGCAATACTATTGTCTGTTTGTCCTTTGAATAAAATTTCCTACAAATATCCGACATTAAATATCAAATGGCCCTTTGGAAAATATGTCCAAAATTGTTAGAATTAGTCCTAATAATAATCCTTTGAAAATTATTCTTAAAAATTCGTAATTGTTCAGTTTATATTCTTTTAAAATAAAAAAGTCTTGGAGGTCCTTAAACAAAAATATCAATTTTAACTTCCGAAAGGAAGATCACCGCTGTAATTGTGGTTTTTAGAAAAAATTTCCAAAGTATCATCACAGCTATAATCGAGGTTTATTTACATTTTTTTTTGCTCAAAGAAATCCAAAATTTTTATTCCTTGAAAAAGTTTTTCTTTCTCGAAAAAATCTTTTTAAATCGTCTCATTTTTGATTCTTGACAAATATTTAAATTCAACAGCAACTTTTTTCATCATTGATAAATCTTTAACAAAACACCATTTGACTCATGAAAAAAAACAGTAGCCCGGTTCTGTCCTTCCCTCAAACACTCGAATTTGAAAAAATTTCAGAAAAATTTACAATGTTTTAACCAGAAAAAAATTAAAATCAAATAAAATATTTTTAAATCTAAAATCCTTTGAAAAAATCCTCGGAATTAAAGATGATTTCTCTGTCGTCCTTTAGAAATGTCTGCAAAATATCCAAAATTACCGTCTATTGTTACTGTCAAATTCCAATTAAATTCTTATGATAATTCCAAATTATATCTTAGAAAATTTCGATTAGAAGTCTTATGACTCTTATAAAAAATTTTAAGTTGTTAGTTCCCAAGGAAAGATCACCGTTATAATTGTCGTTTTTAGATATATTTTCCGAAGGATCTTTATAGCTATAATCGAAGCTTTTTTTAAATTTGTTTTAGAAATTTTTTAGTAGTGGTTTGAAGTATTTTTTTTTTAAACCGGTCGGAACTATGATATAGACCGAAATATTATCTCATATTTATACACTCCGTTTTTTTTAGGACAATAGTCTATATTTTTTGAGTTAGGAACTCCAAACTTTGAAAGTAAGTCCCATAGTGTTCCCTTTTTTTAAATCCCCGGTTTATATATGAAAATTATTTATTTGAAATAATTTTTAAAAATTCTCGATTCGTACCTAGTAAAAATTTTTTAAACCACGATTTTTGCCCAGGAATTTCTCGAAACCTTTTGCCCAGGAAGACTCCATAAATGGTCAGAAAGTTCTCGCTGGCCTTAGCATTTTTTATGGTGTCCATGGAAATTATTTTTGAAAGAGAATCTGCGATTCTTTTTTAGGAAATCCTTGAATTATGTTTTTAAAAAATTTTGTCCCGAACGTCCTTGAAAAATATGTTTAAAATCCAGTAATGATGCCCAGGAAGCTCATGAAAAATATTTCCACAAAAATTGTCCAAGAAGATCTTGAAAAAATTTGTGGCCTGTGAAGTCCTTTTTTCATAATTCTTGCCCTGCAGTTCTTTGAAATTATTATTAAAAAAATCTACAAATGTAACACCATGAGGTCCTTAAAAATATTTACTAGAAGTCAGAAATACAGACGTCCTTGAAAAATATGTTTTAAAATTCAAATTTATTCCCCGGAAATCCATGATGTCAGCCCACATTATTTGACGTAGAGCGCAATTTGTATTGTGTCTAGGATGGTTGGTATTGAAAATGAGATATATCGGTCCACGTTTTGGTATAGTCCCGATATAACGATACCTCCCGATATTCGGTATTTTGATGATTTATCCCACATTTTTTCACGGATTTGTCTAAAAATTGGTATTTGTCGGTCATAATGGGTTCCAGCTCCGGTGGCGAAACATTGCATGTATGGGTCCACGATTTGGTATAGCTCCCATACAACGGTACAACCCGATATTCGGTATTTTTATGGTTTTTGCCACATTTCTTCGCGGATTTGTCTAAAAATTGGTATTTGTTGGTCTAAATGGGTTCTAGCTCTTTGGCGAAACACTGTATGTATAGGTCCACGTTTTTGTATAGCCTCATATAGTCGTATTTCCCGATATTCGGTATTTTGATAATTTTTGGCACATTTTCCCATGAATATGTCTAAAAATTGGTATATGTGGAACATAATGGGCTCTATTGATTTCTTTACCCTAAGGTGGAGGGTATTAAAAGTTTGGCCCGGCCGAACTTAATGTTTTTTTACTTGTTAAATATTTCTAGATGAATTTTTGATATTATTATTCATAGACACCCTGAGCAATTATGGTGGATGCAAAAACATCAATGGTGTTCTTGGGAAATAATCGTTAATTTAAAAAAAAATAAAAAATCACGATTCTTGCCCAGGAAGTTTTTAGTTTTTTTGCTTCCACCATTATTGGCCAGAACGTCTTTGAAAAATATTGTCAAAAATCCACCTACGAAGCACGTGGATAGGTACAAATCACAATCCTTTTCCAGGATGTCTCTGGAATTTATTTTAAGAAGTCTACAAATTTTGGCTTATAAGGATCTTGACACATTGTCTTGTCATAAAAGCCCTTGAATCTATAATAATTTCTCAAAATCCCTAATTGTATTTTTGGAAAAATATTAAATTTTTCTTTTTTAAAAATAAAAAATTTGGAAATTTTGTGTGTAATACGAGAGGTTTTATTAATTTGCCTCATCTAGACGATAGAAATAGTCACCTAAAATGCAGCGCACATTTTTCCGATTTAAATCACTTAAAACTGGGTTTAAATTAAATTCTTTCAAGTCATATGTTTTTTAAAAAATTCCAGCCTACTTACCATTATTTGTAATATGTTCATATCTGAAAGAAATAACAGACAGATGCGATTAGCGCGTGTTGAAAACTAAAATAGCTTAAATACTGTCTGTCCAAACACATATTTATTTTATGCACAGACGTAATTTATGAACAAATATAGAAGAAGAAAAAAAAGAAGATGTATTTACAAACTATTACTTGTTCACAATTAACCAAGAACACATGAGGCGAATGAAAAGCCGAACAAGAAGGAGAAGAAGTTGAAATAAAAACAAAAACTACCTATTACCCCTTGGCTCATAAAATATGCCATGTGCAAATCGATATACTTGACCATCACCACTACCAATTCCAGATGCAGACCATGCCAAGGCAAGCCAAGGAGAATAAAAATGCCAATAAACATAGACAGGCTATAACAACTTGTCGAATAACCATAAATCCTAACACATATATTCATGGACACACAACAGCACATGTACACACACGCACGTAAATTGCTATTTGTCAGTGATACCCAGTAAAGAAATTAATCTTCGTTTCAAAAAAAAAAAAAAATCTGGATTCTCGTTTTATTAAAATGTAAAATGAAAACTGTTATAAAGGAAACAAATGAAAAATTTTAAAAAATATTTTTTATTTCATTTTTTTCATAGAACAAAAATCCAGTCCCTGGTTGAATTTTGGGTGTTTCTAGTTTCGGCTTGTGTTAGTTTTCTCTATCAGGATGAGTCCCATCTTCTCTCACATTTTTTTTCGGAAATAAAATGAGAAAATGGAAGATTATGTTCTCTTTTTCTGGATGAAGGTAGAATCTGGAAATTTTGCACGGGGGTCCGTCTGGTGACAAGGCTGGGTTTTTGAAAATTCGTGCTAAAAAGGTACGAAAAGTACTAAAAAGTACCAATATTTGAGGACTTTGTGTTGGACAAGGGGAATGTAATTTAGAATGGGAGTCAATGATGGAGTGCAGAGTAGATTAATCAAAGAATTTTTTAAAATTGTACTAAATTTCTAAAATAGTAACTTTTGGTATTATGTGAACGGGTAGAGCTAAAAACTAGGAATTTGGGTGCGAGAATCAAGATTGGAAAATAAGTTTGATGTATAGAGGTGGCTTCGGAAAAGCGCACTAAATGTGCGATCTGTCCTAAATGGTACTAAATTTGAAATAGTTTGGTTTAGGGTGGAATTTTGACATTTTGTATTGGAGTCCCTGTTTGAGGTTAGTTTGTGATAAAGAAGAGGTTTTGAAAAAGTGTACTACAAGTGTACAAAAAGTACTAAATAGTACTATAATTGGTGTTGGTCGGGTGCTTAAACTCTCGAATTTGGTATTGGGGCCTCGTTTCATGTGTAGCCTGGACATATAGACGTGGTTTCGGAAATGTGGACTATAATTGTACAAATAGTACTGAGAGGTACTAAATTTGATATTGGGTAAAGGATGAAGGGCCGGTATTTTCAAATTTGATATGAGGTCTCTGTTGGCATCAGAAATTGAAATATTTAGGTAGTTTTGGAAATATGTACTCTATTTGTACGGTGAAGGAATAGAGCTGAAATACTCAAATATGACATAAATGTCACTGTTGGGGTTAATGGTTAAGGTATGGAAGTAGTTTTGGAAATATTTACTATAATTGTACAAAAAGTACTTAATGGTACTAGACTTGGTATTAGGTGAAGGAATAGGCTGGAATCTTCAAATTTGATATTGCGGTCTCTGTTGGTATCTGGAATTGAGATGGTTTTGGAAATGTGTACTATAATTGTCCGAAAGCACTAAATGGTCATTGGGTTAAGGCACGAAAATGGTCATTGGGTAAAGGCATAGAGCTGGAATCCCTAAATTTTATATAGACGTCACTGTTAGTATCTGTGGTTAAGATATGTAGGTGGTTTTGGAAATATCTACTATAATTGTACGAAAAGTACTAAATGATAATAAATTGGGCATGTGGTGAGGAGATAGGGCTGGAATC